AAAAAAAAAAAAAAAAAAAAAAAAATTGTTATATTCAAGACAAAGTCAGATCACCGCGAGGGACCCGATCTTCGATATACAAATTTAATGTGAATTTCTTACGAATCAGAAAAAAAAAGAGAGAATACGTTTAAAGAGAAGACCAAGATTCAAAATCATCGACCGACCAAACGCCCTGTTCGCTGATCCGACCAAAAATTTTTCATCTCCATCCGCGTGTTCTGTCGAACCAAGGACAAGGACGGGACAATAAAATCTCAAGAGAATTCATATATCCGGGGGCGGTGGTTGTCGATGAAAAAAAAAAAAAATAAAAAAAAATAATATTCAACTTCGTCCCAGATACTAAAAAAGACCTACGTCGCAGATTCATCTCGAACTCGCGCATCCGCAGAGGCTGCGCCGTATCTCCAATGCAGTTGCACCGTCCCGCACCCAAGTAGGGCAGTCGGGTAGGCAGAGCCGATCTGCAAGAGGTGCAACTTGCAGTGCCAGATGCACCGTCCTCGAACGCTCACTCGAGCCGACCTACTCAAGGTCCTCGGAGATCACTTTACGAACGCCTTGCTGGAATTATGCGAGAGTGAATAGGATGCTGACGTGGTGGACCTGGACCTTGTCAAGTCTGCATAATAACGGCACGACTACAGGAGCACGGGGTCGAGGTACTCATTCCTTCGTATTTACGTGCTGAGGTTGCATTTGCTTCATCGCGAACCGTGGCTCCTATAAATGCCATCTTGTTTTTTTCTTCATTCGTATCCCCCATACGAGATTAGAGATCGACTCTCGCTCTTTGATTTCCCCTGGGACTCGACTTTCCAGCTGGCTCATTGGCGAAAACTTTCACGCTCCCAACAGCGCATCTGGCGAAGCCACTTTGCGCTTTTGACGCGACTAGCCGAACGAACCAGCCGAGAGTCGCAGATGCGAAATCCTGCAGTTTCGAGGTAAACTGAGAAGCGCCTGAAATTTCGTGCCGCTTTGCATTCCCGTTGTGGAATATTTACAAGATTTGAAAAAAAAAAAAAAAAAAACGTCGAGACGAGACGCAATAAAAAAAAAACATTTTTTTGTCAAAGAGGTAAAAACACTCGTTTACAGCCAAGTCCGAGGAGATAAATGTATCTCGGGTAGGATAAACGAGAGAGAATAACGGGAAGCGTGACAGCTCGTTCAGATTGAAATCTCAAGAGAAGAGTGTCGACCCCACGATTATACGACTATTAACCTGGGAATCTTGTGGATCCGTGGTAAACGCAGGGACAATGCGCGAGTTAGGCGAGTAGACGCTGACGCGGCCCAAAGAGTAGCTGGTTGACCGAGGGATAGTTACAGAAGAAGAATACCATTCGAGAAAAGCGGAAGAAGGAATTGACGCGGTGAAGGTGAGGAGCGAAGGGAGAGAAAAAAAGAAAAAAGTTTTAAAAGATAAGAGACAACAATTAAAAAAACAAAGGATATTGTTATAGGAAAATTTACAAGAGTTGACTTACGTGAAAGTACGTGGCTTTTGTTGGCGCGCACGTGAGCGTCGGAGAGACGGAAAAGGGGGAAGGAAGGAGATGACTCGCGAGAGAGAGAGAGAGAGAGAGAGAGAGAGAGAGAGAGAGAGAGAGACTCTTTCGTCACTCATCGTCCCCACGAGGAGTCAAGGCGCATATTTTCCTAAAAAGTAGAAAATAATTTTCCCGTATAAATACACGCAAGACTCGTATGCCCCCGCGGGAAGGAGCGCCGCTCGCGGAATTCTCAATAATTAAAAATACTCGATCGCGGAATTCGAATATAGAAGAACAACAGGACTATTTCGTTTGAACTCCCCGGAGAATAGCAGCGATATTGAAATACCATGTTTTATAAGGGGGAAAAATAAATTTTCTACTT